TCTGCCTCCTGAGTTCAAGTGATTCTCCTGCCTCAGCTTTCTGAGTAGCTGGGATTACAGGCACGTGCCACTCACCTGGCTAGTTTTTGTGTTTTTTGGTAGAGACGGAGGTTTCACCATGTTGGCCAGGCTGGTCTCAAGCTCCTGACCTCAAGTGATGCATCTGCCTTGGCCTCCCAAAGTTCTGGGATTACAAGTGTGAGCCACCACACCCAGCCAATCATTTTCTTATCACAGAGAATAGTTTTAATCACTGGAAAACTGCCAGCTTCTCCCGGAAGCCAGATCTTTTGGAAATCATGCAAAAACACCAATAGCAATTACAAAACTAGCAACACAAAACAGATTAAAAAGTGTTAATGTAGATCTATTTCTATTGGCTTTTTTGACAGTAGCTGAGAGAGGCTTAGAAAGTAGGATTTCAGCTTCAATGACACATGGCAGGGTATATTGGGGAGGAGAGGCTCCACGTGAAATTCCAGGGCAGAGGGTCCTTACTTCTCAGGCAGCAGCTACCTGGCCACAGGTTGGTCACACTTGTGTTTGAACGGTGGGCATCACTCAATCTGAGACAGTTCATGAGGAGTCAGAATGGTCTTTAAGGTTCTTCTTTATCTCTTCTTCTGCCTTTTGACTGACTCCACTCTTCATCTTCCAAAAGAATAATCCAAGGGATCACATCCTTAGGGCACACTACTGTGCACCCCACTGGTCAGCACAGATGTAGGGTGGAAGGATCTGGGGTGACTACTGGCTCATTGAGGAGCTCTGGTTCGCTCTGATTCTTCATCCTTACTTGGCAGCGCATAGCAGAAGGTCTTTTGCAGACAGGCAGTGTCTCCAGGGGCCTCCCAGGATGGCTTACCTTAGCGAATTTGCCAGGCTTGGGTTTGGCCCCAGGCTGGCAGGCTCAGAGAGGATTGGGTCAACACATTAAGAGATTTTTTTTTTTTTTTCTCTCTCTCTAGCACAGACACACGCTTCTCTCATGAGACTCAAGTGTAAAACCAGATCTCCAATCCATTGATTTTTCACAAGAAATATAACTGCAGAGAGCCTGGATTCTCAAGAATGCCAGGCAGGTCTAACTACCTGGGGAATGAAATCACAATCAGAAAGAAGGGTGATCAGCTTGGATTCAGAACTGGGGGTGTCAGTGGTGAAGGCTCAATCAGAATAATGGATGCTTTCTGCAGTGGGTTGAATGGTGAGCCACTCAAAAGGTGTGTCCACCCGAACCCTATAAATGTGACCCTATTTGGAAAAAGAGTCTTTGCAGATGTAATTATGTTAAGGATTTTAAGATGAAATCATCCTGGATTAGGTGAACCCTAAATCCAATGACAATTTACAAATTCTATGCCCTTAGAAGAGAAGAAGGCCATGTAAAGACAGAGGCAGAGGTTAGAGTTAGGAAGCTACAGGCCAAGGAGTGTCAAGGATTCCTGACAGCCCCCAGGAGCTAGAAAGAGGCATGGAATGCCTTGTCCTTCAGAGCCTATAGAAGGAGCTAACCCTGATGATATTGGATTTTAGATTTCTGGCCTCCAAAACCGTGAAACCATACAATTCTGTTGTTTTTAACCACTCAGTGTGTGCTAATTTGTTATGGCAGCTCTAGGAAATTAATACACTCTTTCATTTAGATAGAGCTGCCCCTGGGCCAGGCAGCTGGAGTCCTTGGGCCAGCCCCTTCCCTGCACCGTGCTTCTATGGGGCCTGCCAACATTTGTGCACAGGCTGGGCCGCTTCCATGGCTGGCCACTCTAGTTTACAAGGAGCACATTTTATCTTTAGACATGGTAATCCATCCCTGTGGGAGGATTGCTGGACTGGGATCTATTCTTTCTCTTAAACCTGCCATTTATACGTATTGTCTGATGGTTTTGCAGCTTAACTCTCCGAGTGGCCACCTTATTCCCCAAATGTTCTTGGGGACAGTGATGTGATAAAGGTGGAAGATATACTTCTGCAGAAGTGTATTTCACAAGGACTCAAAATACGTGTTTGCATGTTTTACTTCTATGCACATTTTCCCATGAAATCTTGCCAGCCCGGATTGGTTCCAGGACTTGTCTCTTCTCCTGGGGCTTTAGTAGTGAAATCAATGTGTGGTACAGAGTCCACCTCATCAGTAGTTACTGGGTACTGAATAAAAGAAAAAGCAGAGGCAAGATTCTCTAAGGTTGGGTGTAACTTTCTCTCCAGGGCCAAGCCCATCCCTCCAGTATTCTTCCAAGAAGATACTGATTTAAATTTCTTTCCTAATTAAACATTTTCCTGAGAAACATGTTTCATGGAAGATGGGATGCTGGTGCAGATAGGAGTTGCTCTTCTGGTGATGAGGTGGGATGAGGGTGGTGTGGGTTTGGGGAATACATGCACACAGGTGTGGGGCTATCACATTGGCTGCAGGAGTGGGGAAGGAGCTAGCAGGAATGACCAGAAAGGCCTGGAATACGCATGAGCAGTTCTGACTGTCTTTGGTAAGTGACATGGAACCATTGGAAAGGATTAGGCTGGGTAATATCATTATCAGATTTGACTGTTTTTTAAATTAATCCATTTATTTATTTATTCATTCATTCATTCACTCATTTTAGAGATAGGGTCTCACTCTGTTGCCCAGGCTGGAGTGCAGTGGTGCAGTCATAGCTCATTATAACCTCAAACTCTTGGGTTCAAGTAATCCTCTTGCCTCAGCCATCCGAGTAGCTGGGACTGCAGGCACCCACCACCATGCTCAGCTAATTTAAAATTTTTATTTATTTATATTTTTTGCAGAGACAGGGTCTTACTGTGTTGCTTGGGCTGGTCTTGAACTCCTGACCTCAAGTAATCTCCTGACTCGGCCTCTGAAAGCACTGGGATTACTGGTATAAACTACCATGCCCTGCCGGACTTGAATTTTTGAAGTCCATGTGAATGGGTTGGGGTGGGATAGGGTGGAGGAGGCAGTGAAAGCAGCAAGCAGACTATGGAAGTGAATAGGAAGTATCGATGTGGAATTTGGTCTTGAGTTGTAAAGCTTTAGCATAGTCCACATTTCAACTCATGCCCCGTTGCCTTTTCCATTCATCTTGCAAAGATGTCGTGAAGCATCTTTCAAAGATGAGATAAATATAGAAAGGAACATGCAAAAGCAGTAAAAATAGTATTATAGCAGCTCATTCAAAGTGACATTTCATTATCCTGGGTAAACCAGTACAACTGACCTTTTCACACAAGGCAGCTGGGAGTAGGAGCAGGAGGAATGGATAGAGGTGGGAAAGGCAGTGTCCCATGGACTGTATCACTCGGGGCCTGACTTTGCAACCTTTATAGGAATCTGTGATCCAGATGCCTTGTTAGAGCTAAAATAAATTTTATACACAATTAAACCAATGTTGCTTACCAAGTATTTTTGGAAGGACGATTATGCTTCCATAACATGTATTAAAACCAAAAATAGACGTAAAAAGATTCAACAATTGGGAAAGAAGTGACCCCGCTCTTCCAAGGATCTAGGGCCACATTCACCCATCATGGCATCTTACGTTTCTAGCAGTAGGCATGGCGCATGGTGGCTGCCCATTACATTAAAAATATAATGACTGTAGGGAGCCCTCAAAGCCCATTAAGGATTTTTTAGCTGTTTGCCGGGGTACAATTTTTTTTCTTTTTCTTTTATCACATAACTAGAATTATTCAAGCTGAATGGAACTAATCAAACACTTGCCTTTACAACTACAAGGGACTTCGACCCTGTACTCTGGTTGTGCCTGCATATGCCTGCCTGTCTTTTTCTTGGTTATTTGAAAATACAGGCTGAACCCTGAGCTTGGGACCCATTTTCCCCCTTTCTCCTTTTTTTTTTTTTGGTTAGCTGAGATTGGGAAGTAGAATGCTGAATAAATAGAAACTCACTCCGGGGGCTCAGGGCTCTTTAGAAGGTAATTCTGACCTCCAGCCACTTACAGAATATTGGTAATTTGACCTGCACTTGATTTCCGCATAAGCTGTCATTTGATACGCTCAGAGAAAGCAAGAGAGGACATAAACGAAGAGGATATATTTCTAGTGGCACACTAAAACAGAATCAGTTACCAAAAACTATCCTTGCTGAAGTGATTAACACCTCATATATTTTATTTAATTTTTGTTTGCAGTTATATATCTTGAGCTTCTATGGGTTCCAGTACACAGTTTGTAATAACTTTTGGGGTTATAAAATTTTACCTAATGGGCTAGCAGCCTGGTATGTAAAATTAATTTGATATTCATATACTTATAAAGTAAATATATAATTGTTAAATGGTTAAGATATAATGTAACATTTTTCTCTGATTAAAAAAGTAATGTAAGCTTATTTTAATAAATTGGGAAAATACAGAAACGTGCTGGAATCACCTGGAACTCATCAGTTAGCTATAATGACTGTTATTTAAAGTATTTCTTTTTTTTGTGCCTGTACAGAATCATTGTGTGTGATTATACATATATTATGTAATATTTAATTCTGAATTCTACCGTTTACCCCTTAACATTGTTGTACAAATATTTTCCCCATGTTACTGAATATTCTTGGACTACAGTAGGAATGGTTAAGGCTTTGATTGGTCAATTAATAAAATTATTTGATCCTTGGCATGGCAAGATGTTTGGTGCTTCCACGCGAACACTGCATAAAAGATTCTTTTCTTGTTGTTTATTAAAAATAAAGTTATCTCTATTTCATCCACAGGGTGATAGCTGTTTGAAGGCAATTAGGATCTGTATGCTCTGTATTAAGAAAAATATTGTCAGCTGTCTGGTGCTCCCTTGTCTGTTTTTAAAATTTATGTCTTGTACATTTTCTTTTTTCTCCTGGTAGATCAAAATCATAGAAGTAATTAAACCTCAGTAAGAAAGGTAATTCCTACAAATCTGGAGGGTTTAATTCAAGCTGGTGCTGAATATAAATGCAATATTTAACAGAGTGCAAATCATCCCTGATACTCACATATATCCTTTCTTTCCAGGGCACCAGCTCCAGAATGGCCATCACTGAGCACATAGAGGAGTGAAATTTAAGGGGGCAGAGTGGAGTGTTCATAGGTAAGTGACCAGAAGTCGCACAGAGGTTTGGGGTACATAGGCCTATAGTTACTTGCTAGGGAAGGCTTGAGGTCAAGGACAAAGAGAAGAGTATACAGGGAAGGCTGGGCGTGGTGGCTCACACCTGTATCCCAGCTACTTGGGAGGCTGAGACAGGAGCATCTCTTGAGGCTAGGAATTCAAGACCAGCCTGGGCAACACAGTGAGACCCTGTCTTTAAAGATAATAATAAAAGAATGTACAGGAAAGGACTTCTGCTTTTCCGGGGTAGCACCCTCAGGTTCAACTGTGTTCATTCACCTCTGCCAATTAGGCAAAGGGTTAATCTAGGTGGAAGGGAACCTGTGGAAGGGGAACATACCCCTGTCCCAGGTTTTAATAAAATAGGCATCAGTGGTGATGACTGTAAACCTCAAGAGGGTGGGGGTTTCAAATAGGAGTGCTAGAGCAAGGGGCTTTCTTGCCTGGGCAGGCCAGGGGAGCGGAGCTGGATGGGACTTTTCTTGGCTTCAATGCGCAGGTGACCCCAGTGGGAGAGTGGGGGGTCTCTCAGGGTCTCCTCAGTCAGCAAGTCACGGAGGAAGGAGAAAGGAAATGGATGTTTGCTGAGCTGTGTGGCTTGGCCCTTCCTCTGTGGGAAGCTGGGAGTTTAGGCCACTCACCCTGGGTCTGCAGCGGCTGCTCTGCTGATGAACAACATCAGGCCTCCGCTCAGAGCATGTGGACCCTCTGATGCCGAGGGTGGGGTTCTGCTGGTCTTGCCTGGGGGCATTGAGCTCCCTGTCTCTGCCCACCGTCCAGCCTCTGCCCACCGTCCAGTCTCTGCCCACTGTCCAGCCTCTGCCCACCGTCCAGTCTCTGCCCACTGTCCAGCCTCTGCCCACCGTCCAGTCTCTGCCCACTGTCCAGCTCATATGAGTTCTTTGCAGGGTTGTTTCCTTCTGAGGACTGTGAAGAGAACTGTTCTGGGTCTCTGTACTTGACTTGTAGATGGTTATCTCTCTCTCTCTCTCTTTCTCTCTCTCTCTGTCTCTCACTCTCTTTCTCTTTGTCTCTCTCTCTCTCTCTCTGTCTCTCTCTCTCTTTATGTCTCCCCACCTCTGTCTCTTACTCTCTTTCTCTCTCTCTCTCTCACTCTCTTTCTTTCTCTCTCTCTCTGTCTCTCCCTCTCTCTCTCTTTCTCTCTCTGTCTCTCTCTCTCTCTGTCTCTCTCTCTTTCTCGCTCTCTCTCTTTTGAGACAGGGTCTCGTTCTGTCACCCAGGCTGGAGTGTACTGGCATGAACATGGCTCACTGCAGCCTTGACCTCATGGGCTTAGGTGATCCTCCTGCCTCAGCCTCCTGAGTAGCTGGGGCCACAGGCACGCACCACCATACCCGGCTGATTTTTTAAATATATTGTAGAGATGGGGGTCTCCCTCTGTTGCCCAGGCTGGTCTCAAACTCCTAGGCTCAAGCAATCCTCCTGCCTTGGCCTCCCAAAGTGCTGGATTACGAGTGTGAGCCACTGCACCTGGCCCCTGTGTCTTTTCAAATTATCTTCCCTCTATTTGTGTCTGTTTCTGTGTCCAAATTTCCCTTTTGTAAGGATACCAGTAGTATTGGATTAGAACCCACACTAATGACATCATTTTAACTTGATTACTCCATAAAGATCCTACTTCAAATTAAGTACTAGAAGTTAGAATACCAACATGTATTTTTTGAGGGGACACAAACCCATACCAGACCCCCATCCCCCACCTACTCTTACCCTAGTGAGTTCAGCAAGTCCTTCAAGCTATCACTAAATTATGATTTTCCACTGAATGTGTCTCTGAAGTAAAGGTTGAATGAAGCAGCAGGTTCTTTGAAACACTTTCCCTTTGAAGGAATGATTCAGCATTGCTTCTTTATCTGGAGATATGGTGCTGTTTGATGCATCTTCTCTCCACATCTGTTTGTATCAGTGCAAAAGGGAAAATGAAGATAAGCAGGTTTTTTTTTTTAAGTAATAGAAGATAATTCAGGGTCCATCTGGGTTTAAGATGGAATGATCTGGCTGCTGGTTATCTCTATGGATCACCGTGCTGGGGATCGTGGGAGCAGTAACTGTACTGCTCAAGTCCATGTGCTGCTACGGACACTACTTGTGAGCTTCTAACTTAGCTCCTGGGCTTTTGGCCTCTATGAGCTCTAGCAATTCTCCGTGTGGGCTCCAGCAATATTGAGAAATGGAATAGCAGCTATCTTCGTCCATGTCATACTGCTAAAACAGAGTGCCCGAGCCTGGGCAATTTATGAAGAACAACAATTTATTTCCTCACAGTTCTAGAGACTGGGAAGTCCAAGATCAAGGCGCTGGTGGGTTGGATTGTCTGGTGAGGGCTGCACCCTCTGTTGGGGAGGAATGTTGTGTCCTTGCTTGGTGGAAGGTAGAAGAGCAAGTGACAAACACTGCTGTGTGAAGCCTCTGGGGCCTTTAAACCCATTCATCAAAAAGGAGTTCTCATGGCTTAATCACCTCTTAAAGGCCCCACCTCCAAATACCATTTTACTGGCCGTTAAGTTTCAACACCTGAATTTTGGAGGGCACACGTTCAAACCATAGTGGCAGCCTAGTGCAGCATGAAGAGAGTAGAGTCTGGAGCCAGGTTAACTGGGTGGCAACCAGCTGTGGGACTCTGAACAGGGGCTTACCCTCTGTATGTGTCAGCTCTGCATCTGTAAAATGGGAACAATACTAATATCTATATTTATATCATGGGGTCAGCTGGGCACAGTGGCTTACGCCTGTAATCCCAGCACTTTGGGAGGCTGAGGCAGGTGGATCACCTGAGGCTGGGAGTTCGAGACCAGCCTGGCCAATGTGGTAAAACCCTGTCTCTACTAAAAATACAAAAATTATCTGAGTGTGGTGGCAGGCACCTGTAATCCCAGCTACTCAGCAGGCTGAGGCAGGAGAATCGTGTGAACCCGGGAGGCAGAGGTTTCAGTGAGCTGAGATTATGCCTCTGTACTCCAGCCTGGGCAACAGAATGAGACTCTGTCTTTAAAAAAAAAAAAAAAAAAAAAAAATTATACCATGGGGTCGTTAACAGGATGAAATGAACTGATATACGCTGAGTGCTTAGAACAGGGCCTGGCACATAATAAGCACAATATGAATTTTTTAGGTAAAAATAAAGATTGAAAGCTTTCTCAGTGCCAGGGACTGTGATAAGGACTTTAAATGCAGTATTATAATGATGCTAAGGGATTGGTTGCTATTATCCCTACTCAAAGTTAGGAAACAAACTCAGAGAGGTGAAGGAACTGTTCAAAGCCAAGAGCTAATAAGGCAGAGCCAGGCTTTAAGAGAGGCATGTCTGATCCCCACCTGTCCTCATCACCACCTATGATGAGGAGCAAATGGAGCCTGAGAAATGGCTTCGTTCTGTGAATAAATGAGCCAATGAATACTCGCTGAGTGTCTGCCATGAGGTGACAGCTTCATGACACACTTGGACAGATGACATTTATAAATAAAAGGCTTATTTACACTTGAATGTCGGTTCTAATAATTCATGTGAACTATGCTCTGCCACCTTCTCTACATTTACTAGTATTAAAAGTAAATAAAGATGTTCGTGGATTTCACCCCATTTGAATTTTGAATTGAGCTTCTTTAAAAAGTTTCAGTGATTACTTATTACTGAGTAGCTGACTATCTTCCTTAACCTTATGGATAATTATTTGTATTATGGATCCATTAATAGGATTCAATACATTAGAGTTCTTCTCTCTTGTTGAATATTCACTCACCTGTGTGTCTGATGCAGATTCGAGTTCAACATGATTGAAGATGGAAGGTAGAAGGCAGAAGGCACGTGTGGTCCATTTACCTTGGACAACAAGTACATGGTCTACAAGGTGTCCACATTGGCCTCTGGGAACCACGGACAGGGCCAATGTATAATCACGGGGCTATGCAAGGATCAGCATCCCATGTTTACACTGACACTGCAACTGAACAGGTAGGAAAGGTGTGTTGGTGGAGAAAACATTCCAACAGGTAAATTGCCATGTAATGTATTATCCAGACCAAAGCTCTTTTTAGAATAAAAAGAGAGTGCTAATAACAATTTTGCCAGGGCAAGAGGCGTAAGTGGGACTGTCCTGGCCAATGGGGTGATGGCCACCCCCACCTACAGTCTACCAGGATGACAGAGCACTGGGTGCAGACCTAGGAGAGGTGGAGAGGAGTGGCATGAGGTCCTTGCTGGGGCCTGTGACAAGAGGACAGGCTGGAGCTGTCTGGATGGAGGACTTACTGGGCCACTGTTCTGTCCTGATGTGTACGTTCTTAATGCTCTTGTGAATGGAGGCGTTAGAGAAATCCTGTTTGAAGGTAAATTCTAAGTCTTCCAATTTGATTAATCACCATAACTCTCTTTGTAATTTCTCTGGGTATTTTTCATTTGGAATCACGCTGTTCTTTCTGCTGACACAGCAGCATTGACCCAGCCTCCTTTTTGGGGAGCCGACACTATTGAAATCAGGGGTGAACAAGCTTGGTTTAATGACAATGGCCATCAGTTGTTCATTTATCTCATAAAATTATTCTTATCAAAGGCTGTGTGTGTGAGTGTGTAGGTGTATGATGTGTAATGAGGTACACAGGTAGGGATGTGTGTGTGTATGATGTGTAATGAGGAAGTATGTGGGAAGGAGTGTGTCTGTGCAGATGTGTGACGTGTAATGAAGGGGTAAGTAGTGGTGTGTGTGTGTGCGCGCACACCAGTATGTGATGTGTAATGAGGTAAGTAGTGGTGTGTGTGTGTGTGTGTGTGCACGCCAGTATGTGATGTGTAATGAAGAGGTAAGTAGTGGGGGGTGTGTGTGTGTGTGTGTGCAGATGTGTGATGTGTAATGAGGTAAGTAGTGGGGTGTGTGTGTGTGTGTGTGTGCAGATGTGTGATGTATAATGAAGAGGTAAGTAGTGGTGTGTGTGTGTGTGCAGATGTGTGACACGTAATGAAGAGGTAAGTAGTGGTGTGTGTGTGTGCATGCCAGTATGTGATGTGTAATGAGGAGGTAAGTAGTGGGGTGTGTGTGTGTGCACGCCAGTATGTGATGTGTAATGAAGAGGTAAGTAGTGGTGTGTGTGTGTGTGTGTGTGCACGCCAGTATGTGATGTGTAATGAGGAGGTAAGTAGTAGTGTGTGTGTGTGTGTGTGCACGCCAGTATGTGATGTGTAATGAGGAGGTAAGTAGTGGTGTGTGTGTGTGTGTGTGCACGCCAGTATGTGATGTGTAATGAAGAGGTAAGTAGTGGTGTGTGTGTGTGTGTGTGCACGCCAGTATGTGATGTGTAATGAGGAGGTAAGTAGTGGTGTGTGTATGTGTGTGCAGATGTGTGATGTGTAATGAGGAGGTAAGTGGTGTGCATGTGTGTGTGTGTGCAGATGTGTGATGTGTAATGAGGAGGTAAGTGGTGTGCATGTGTGTGTGTGTGTGCAGATGTGTGATGTGTAATGAGGAGGTAAGTGGTGTGCATGTGTGTGTGTGTGCAGATGTGTGATGTGTAATGAGGAGGTAAGTGGGGTGTCTGTGTGTGCGCATGCAGGTGTATAATGTGTAATAAGGAGGTAAGTAAGTAGGAGTGTGGGTGTGTTTATGCTTGCTCATGCAGTGTGTGTGTGTGCACACCAATGTGTATGCAGCATGCATGGATCCAATAGGTCTGACCCTGGCCTCCTCTGAGTGGCCTGTCTGGTTGGTGCCCTCTGTGGGCTCAGCCTGGCCTGGTACTTGTATTCAAACCATCGGGAAGAGATTGTCAGAAGAAGATGGTGACAGGTGAGCTATTTGAGAGCCATGACTATAGAAAATGCCAGAAAGAAAGAGGCTGAGCTGAGACAGGCATGAAGTTTCATGGGCTGAGCCTCCTTGCCTTCCTCTGGCCAGTGTGGGACTGTGAGGCTTGCTGCAGGGCTGCTGGAGTGAGAGAGGCCAAGGCAGGTTAGAGAGGGCTGAAGGAGCCACCCTAAAGATTGGGAAGAAAATGAAGGAGGACAAAAAGGCATCAATGGCCATAGCTAAACACATTTAACTTTAAAATTCTGGAAATATTCACTCACTCTTTAAATCTAAAGGGTTGAGATTTTTCCAAAGATAGCCAATCTGCCTTCGGGGCATGTAGCTCACGGTAAGTGACCACATTGGTCTCATGGTCTCTGTTTTATCCTGATTACCACCCTCATCATCGCGTCTTTTTCTGAAGTGTACATAATGTAGAACTAGAGCTTATTTTTACTTACTGCGTTTACTGAATAATTTAATGTTTCTTAGTCTTCACTTTGAAGACAATGGCAATATCCTGTATTCCGTATTCACCAAAACCCCCAAATAAAATAAACTCTGAGTTGAATTGCTTTTACTTTTATAGGTCTTACATGATCCAGTGAGTTGGATTGTCACTGGCTCTTCCCAGACGAAAGGCACTCAACTCTGTCTAGGATTGCACACAAACTTCTTGACGCGCTCTGTGTACAGCACTATTTAATTGTTTTCCTCCTTTTATAACAGAAAAGAAGTGCATGATGGTGTAGTGTGCAATGTGCCATTTTACATAGGCAAAACATTATGATATTCAAATAAAATACATTCCAAAACTTTCACATGTTTATATTTTTTAGTGGTGGTAGGGAGTAAAGGATTAAAACACACACACACACACACACACATACACACACACACACACACATACACACACACACACACAGATTCCTTTCAATGTTAGGTTAGAAAAGTTCCCGCTTTCATGTCTTCGATAGTAGTTTTGGAGCTTGCATTCAGCATTTTCCAGTTTTGTATTTACCTTTGGTCTGTTTGTGAGCCTCATGTTGGGACTGATTAACTTAAGGAGTACGATCAAGTTAATTTCTAAAATTATCAGAACTAAGTTTGTTTTAATTCATTTTCCGAGCACTGTTTCTATAATGCTCAGCCCTTTGGGTTGGGGAAGAAATATGGGAAATTGTTAACACAAATCAAAGAAAAAACCTGTTGCATGTATTGCAAGTTTGGAATTGCTGACATAGAATATTACTTTATTTCTAGTGCTTTTAGAAAATTATCTTACAATAGGAAAGGAAATAATTTGGGTTTCCTTTGAGGGATGTTCTGTTTTGAGTGTGAAATTTCATTTTGTCTTTCATGAATAGAGACAACAGAAAAAATACTTTCTAATGAGATGTTTTTCCATCAGATTTAAATTATGGAAAATCCTGTCTCTCACGGAAGGATTTTTGTCTTGTTCCTTGTAGACCCTAAATTTAGTGCAGTGCCTTGGACATATTAGATGTTCAATACTTATTTATCAAATAAAGCACAACTTTAGGGGAAGGAGCCATGGCTACCTCCATGTAGTTTGCAGGCTGCACTGTGTTTTTTACTTAGCTGGTCACTAGATGGCCCTCTGTATCTATGCTAAATCTCCATTACTATGCATGCTCATTAATGCATGCAGACACAACTGCTCAGGCTGTGTGTGAAGCGTTTGAACGGCTCAGTTTTCCCCTTTCACCGGGCATCAGTTACAAGTCCTCTAGACTGTTGTACACCTAAGACAAAGCTGATGATGATAATGTTAAGTCATCGAAAGAAGAAACAGAGAACAGAGGAACTGTTTTAATTAGAGAGGTGCTCTTCCCTATGCTGGAAATACTGGGAAAATTTTATAGTCAGCACATTTTAAAATTAGCCAGGCACAAACTGTAGCCGTTCGCATGAATACGCATCGCACAGAGTGCTATAACCCTACAAGTGTTGTTTGGGCTGGTGGTGCATTTGTTGAATGGCTTATCTGTGACAGTTGGGAGGCAGGATCATCTGTTGTTGAATAGACAGAACCCACTCTGCTAATGCTGCTTTGTGGTCAAACTTGGAGCCATCAATGTAACTGAAAAGTCACTCTTGGCCTGGTTCTCCAGAGTGTCTGTAATGGTATTCCACCTACGGGTGTAGACACTGCCTTTAGCAGGAGGATACCTTGCTGAGGAGGCACAGAGAGATGATGTTTTAGACGTTGGGATCGTGGTAACCTTTATTGTAGTCACTTTTATCCATGTGCTGGGCTATTGTAACCATACTGTCACTGAAAAGGGGGTTTTCTTTGGGACAAATCCATTTCTTTGAAGAATAATTTTCCCCCTGATTATAAAAGTCATGCATTTCCATTGTAGAAAATCTGGAAAATACAAAAAATTATTATGAAAACAAGAATTCTTACCATTTTAGAGATCAAACTGAAATCATGTTGAATGCATAACTTTATATCCTCCTTTTAATGTTATATTGTGTAATGAACATACTGTATTCCAGATCATTACTCTTCAAAAACTGAGTTTTGACAGCAACATACTATTCCACCTTTTGCCTATGCTGTATTTTTAATCATACTTAATCATTTAATATTAATATTTAATCATTTCCCTATCCGTGGACACTTAGGTTTTGTTTCAAATTTTCTACTTTCAGAAATGATGCTGAAATAAACACTGTTACAGATGCATTGTTCTCACATCTCTGATTCATTTCTTACCACGAATTTCTGTAATTGGAATTAAAGGGAGGGCTAATGGCTTCTTGATGTAGAAGTAAAGTGCAACATTTCTCAGGAAGAGTTCTTCACCCTTCTGGTTATAAACTCACAGCTGGATCAAGGGTCTCTGAAATTAGGATACTATCAGAATTCTTGAAAATATTTCTCATGTAGCGTCTTTTTAGACAAGTCAATGTCAGAGGTAGAAAACTCAGATTGTTCTGTTTTGCAAGTAAGTTCTCCTTGCCTTATACCAGCATCATTTATTTTCTGACAGCTTAACCCTGAGGCTTTCTGTCAGCAAAGGCTGCTTTTTTATACCCTCTTGTACGTTTATAGCATCTTCTATCACTTGGACAGATCTGTGAGAGGCCCCCTGTGTGTTTCTAAAGACATCCACAGTTTCTAAAGACTGTGACAC